GTTAATGCTACATATGAAAGTAAAACTACTCTTAGGGTCATTGAATCAAAATGGGGAAGGACAGAGAGAACCCATGGAAGGCCATAATGAGGGAAGGAAAGGGCTGCTATTCTCTCCAGGCTGTGTGTCCTGGGCTCTCAACCTCAGGTCTAGACACTGGTGTGGTCCAGCCTTCTTTTGATGGTGTGGGCCTGGCTTGAAATAGGCCTGCTAGAGTGGGTCATCAGTGAACCAGAGTGTGGGTGTTCATACTCAGATCACTCCTCATCCTGTGATCCCAGAGACTGGGTGGCTGTTGGAATCTTACTAGGTTAGCTGGGGTTTTTTTTTGATAATACTCCTCAGTCTCTGGTACATCCTTGCCACCCATAGCTGTTGTCCACCCAGACCACACCAGGTCAGGGAAGTTGGCCAGGGTTGGATGTAATCTAGGCCCATTCCACCAGGGCTGGACAAAGACCAGCCTGGCCAATGGGGAACCCCAGGGTGAATGAAGAGGTATACAGCAGCCCAACCTGTCCCGTTCTTTCCTAGAGGTGTTTATGCTGGCTGCATGGGGGGCAGCATCTCTTTGTTGGCCTTGGCCACAAAGGTGGGATTTACAAATGCAAATATAGCTTAGCTACTAAAAACTGGGTTACTCTACAGGGAGGGCACGGTAGAAGAAGCACTGCTGCAGGATACCCCTCAGAAGCGACTGATCATGCTGCATGGACACAGCCAATTCCACTGGAGAACAGTCCCCCTATGACATTTCAGAAGAGACATGGCTGGAATGACACAGAACATGGCACTAGTTGAGTTTGTGATTGTGCATTTCTTAAGGAATGGGTGACAACTTTCAAAAGTTTATATTTATACATGTCAAATGTTTTACACTTACAGGTGAATATAAGAGTAGAGTTAGGTTTTGATAGTGACTTTGTGAAGAGTCTAAGAGGGGAATTGTGAAGCTGACCCACTGGGAGATGAAGATGATGGGCCAACTGCTCTAAGTGCGTAGGAGAATCTGGGGGTGTCTGTTGAGTTGTCAGAAGGCCCACAGGCCACAGAAGTTATATATAAGAGCTTACGAGAAATTTCTAGATGTTTGTTTTGATATGTGAGTAATATATCTTGAGTGTTCACATGAGTCAAACCAGTTAATGCCATTTCAAGATACTACTGATTGTTTAACACAGAGGTGATTCAGATCAGTATAAAGGAGAATGAAGGTTTCACAGGTACCTGGTGGTCTCTTAAAATGCAAACACTAATGCAAATGTTGAAACGGATTTACCTTATCATTTCTTTCACATAGAAACTTTAACCTTTGAGCTCGCTTATGCATAAATACTCCATCCAAATGTCCTGTTTCCACTGACCGGATCTCAATAGCTTTCTCGCCCCAGCCCATTATCTGATTGGAATGAATGTAGGCTGTCAAAAGGAATTTCCAAAACTGCATTAAAAACATTAGATGGGCAATAACTCACAGCATCTGTTCACATCTTAACCACATAAATGACAAACGACTTGAGATAAACAGACAAAGTAAGTCTTACAAGTGTTATTCACAGATTTTTTTTTTTTTTTTTTTTTTGTGGACTCAAATGGTTGTTTCACATTTCTTGACTTTCGTTTCATTTGGGGGGTGTAACTGCTGAAGGAGATAAGGAATGGTTAACCTACCCACAGACGTGGGCATTTCTCCCCATTGGAGCACCACATCCTTAGTTATCCGGCCATAGGTGTTCACATACACCCCCTCATCCTCATAGCAAACAAGCATTTCCATCCCATCTGTTTTAGGCAAGATGACGATAGCATGAGGAGTGATATTGCCCTGAATCTGAAAGACAAAGAAAAGCCATGCATTATTCTTTTTGAAAAGAAGACAACACCTTGATTTTCATCTCTTGCAATTAAAAAAAACTTTTATGGAAACTTTCACTCTACGATTTTCTTTGCTTAATTTAATCACGGATCTGTCGGATGCCATGATAAATGTGGACTTAGTTGCTCGATAACAAATCCAATTTACTTGTTCCTAAAAGCAACAACACAGTATTGATGGGGTGTCTAGTATTTGTGAGGCACCCTTTACGTATATGATCTCTGGCTCTTAGAACAGATCCCCATGGGAGTTATCTTTGTTCACAGATAAGGAGACTATATCTCAGAAAGGTTAGGTAACTTGACCAAAGCTATGCTAGTATTTGGTGGGAGAACTGGCATTTGAGCATATCAGTTTCTGGCATTGAAATTCATGTGTTTTCTGTTAGAACAATGGCTTCCCCAAAAGATGAAGAGAAAGCAAGGCAGCTGAATGAGGCAAGGCAGCTGTAATGGGGCTAAGACGGTCCCCACCAGGCAGGCTATGAGTACATGACTCAGATTGTTTATCTGGGTGCTGAAATACCAAAATAATCCAAATTAATGGTTTGTTTAGAAAAAAATTAGAATTACCACTAATTAAAAAAAAAAAACATACAATTGAAATAAGTGTCAACTGACCTGTCCTAGAAGATGTGGTGCTGCTATAATCCCTGGTTGAGGATGTCGCAGCAGCCCAGTATGTGCTTGATGGATAGATGGATAGGGATGTTGGGATCAGGAACAAGCACAGTGATGCCCTCACAGAAAGCCTGAGTTGTGAGCTCTATGTGCACACACACACAGGTGTGAAGAGCTGTAATGCATCAATGAATGACTAGTGTGTGTGCGTGCATGTGTACAACAATGCACTAAAACAATCTTTTTCTGTGACTGTGCTTCTTTAGAGTCTCCAAACTCTTCACATACCATCAGCAACATAAAAAAGACCTCAGACTCTCCTGACAGTGTCTTCTGTGTGTCACCTGAGGATCACACACAGGATGCACAATTTATACTGCACAGTTCTAGAGAGTGAATCTGTGCAGCAATTCCCTCCAGGAGTCATGTTTTAGGCAGCATATCAGCATAGTAATTGGGATATTATATTGTTAAGAAGAAGAACTACAGGGCTGGGGTTATGGCTCAGTGGTAGAGCACTTGCCTAGCACATGTGAGGCACTGGGTTCCATCCTCAGCACCACACAAAATAAATAAATAAAAAATCAAAGTATTGTGTCCATCTACTACTAAAAATATGTTTTTAAAAAAAGAACTACAAATTTGAATGAATGTTATATCCATTTTAAAATTTAATGCTGATGATAACCCTATGGGGTAGGTTTTGGCATTTCCATTGACAGACGTGCAAGCTGAAGGTTGCAGAAGCTGTCTAATGGGTCCATCTGCAAAGCCCTTTCAGATAAAGGCAAGGGGCTGAGCTCTGCTGCTCGAGGCAGTATAGTGTAAAGAGGAACTAAAACTAGCTGAAAAGGGATTTTCTCTAGGAAATTAGTATCTGATCATTGTTTTTCTCCCACACAATATGACACAATTTCCATTCAAAACTGAAAATGGAAACTTATCCATGCCCTGAAGGAAAAATTAAAATACATTTTAATAAAGTCCAAAGAAACAACATGTAGATTAATGTCACATATCTCTTTATATGTTATTCTGTTTTAGGAAGTAATAAAAATTAGCTAAATTTATATGTTTTACTTATTAACCTATTTTGTCCCATAATCCCAGATGTGGAGCACATATAAAAACTTAAATATAGTGTCTATATATATATATATATATATATATATATATTACATATATAGATATAATATATAGTATAATAAAACAGTAATAAGAATATGATTACATTATAATAATTATTACATAATAATACTAATATGATTATACATAGAAGCTCTAGATTTTGACTTTCAACCTATTTTAATGCCTCTGTGCAAATTTCATTGAAATAGCTGCAGAATTGAAAAGTTGGGTTAAAAGCATTCTGTCTTCCTGGTGAAGGCCCGAAGTCTATCTGCTTTACTAATTAGTAAGGGTTAGCATGACTTCTAATAATGTGCAAAACAAATCTTTTACATGCAGAAGGCCCTTTATAGTCTGCTTTGGGAAACTTACATGAGATGGTATGTAGATATCATAAGAGTTTCCTGAATCAACATCAATTACATGGAAACCGGTGTGGGAGCCAAAAATAACCTTTAATCTTTGACCTTCTTCTACAGTGAGATCAACTAGCAGGGGCTTGTGCTGAAGATCTGAAAAAGACTTTAAAATCACCCTGTTAGTATCCACATCATTTAAAGACATTATATGAATAATATTTAGCCACTAAGTTAATTTCTGAAAAGCTGAAAAGCCAGGATATTTCTCTTTGGTAGATCTATTCATATTCTAGCTCCAGGAGGAAGGGTCTATCAGCCCTTTTTGCCTCCTTTCCCCATCTCTGATCCTCAGGGCAGTACAGGGTTTACAGCAGAGAAGGTGGTTTACAGCTATGTTTATAGTGTCATTCTATCTTTAAAACTTGGTGTCTGGGTGCTGCTGTTCTGTTTACTTCTGGCCTTTGCTCTCTGGAGAAGGTCCTGCCACCTCTCTGACCCTTCTCTTTGCTATGTGGCAGCAAGGCCCATCTGTGGTTGCTACCTTTCAGAGACAGCCTGGGATGAGCATGCTCTGGCCCCTACTTTCCTCCAGTTACTGAGTGGAAATCATAGAGGCTCTCTCTAAACTCAGTGTTGAGATCTAAGACTTAGGTTTGGGCAATAAGAGAAAGGGATGGAGGTGAAATATCACAAGACTTATGACTTGCATTGACAACTAAGGTTTAACTAGAAAGTTCTATCTGAGCTTCTGTGGACCAAAGCCCCAACCAGCTGTTGAGTGTTCCTCTTCCTTTGCTATGACTTACTCACACACTACCTTTACTGCATCTTGAAATCTAGGGGAGGATTTGAGAAACCACCATTGCCCTGGTGATACTATCACTGTTACCTAATATACCCTTCTCCTCTCATCTTCTGCTAGAATCTCATAGCATAGGAAGCTTTCCCCTCCTGTCCCTAGGGGTCAGCTCTAGTCCTCCCTATTCAAGTTCTTGCCTTTGCTTTTCCCTCTTGCAGGCTGGGGCGGGTCTGCTGAGCAGAGCATTTTGCATTCTCTCATTGCTTTGGCTAGTAACATGATGGCAGTGACTTCAACGTCAGAATGGGAATGGGATCTCCACTGAAAAGCTTTTACCGAGAGAATTTGGCACAACAGGAGCAGCAGCACATTAGATTTTTGGAGACATCCCGTAAGTGTTATTATGAATCTAATGCATTCCAAAAATTCCTTTCCATAAAAGTGGGATTATGGAGGGGAGCCCATTTCCACTGATCAATCTGTCTTCCTGAGCACACCACAAATGAGCCACTTGCACTAAGGGAACAACAGAGAAGTGGGGTGATTCAGCCCTGAAGAGGGACAGCTTTGGCTCCCTCATGGCAGGAGAGAATAAATAAAAAGCCAAAGAGAGATAGTAATTATAAAAATGGAGAAAAGTCAAGGGCCAAAGAGCTACTGAGAAAGACAGACACAGGCAGAGAGAAAACAGAAGATAAAGCCACACTGGCTATGCAGTCTGAACACATCAGGGGGCCTGCAAGTACAAGTCTTTCAGGCATTTGGGGGTCAGCTTTCATGAGCTGAGGCAGATGGGACTAAACATATTCCGATCCCACTCCCACTCAATCTCATGAATCCCCTGGGAAAATTCAGAAAAACTAGGTCATTTCCATGAATGACTACACTCAGTGTTCATTTCAGGGAAATCTAATAGCAACAGGGAGATAGCATCAACTGAGTTTTAGAGACTTGGTCCAGAAAGGCTCATGATTGTAAGACTTGGAGATTCAGTGCTGCCAGTGGTCTGCCTTTTTGAGCCCAAACACCAGATAGCACTCTAGATGCTTTTAAAACAGATATCATTGCACAGCTTCAATACTTTGCCTGGTAACCATCCTGTATCAAATGTCTCTTGCAGATGATGATTTGCAGATCTCAAATGAAGGAGGGTAAACATAAAATTTAGTTTGGGCTGGGGTTGTGGCTCAGCGGTAGAGTGATCCCCTAGCATATGCGAGGCCCTGGGTTCGACCCTCAGCACCACATAAAAATAAATGAATTAATTAAAGATTTTGTGTCTAACTAACTACAACTAAAAAATAAATATTTAAAGAAATTTAGTTTGACTAATCTCATAGTATTTTTAAAAATAATAAATCTATGAGTTCCTACAGTTCCAAAATAGGTTTATTATTTATCATATGTAGTAAAATTGGTAATGGTTTATGTGGAGAACAGATGACTGGAGGAAACGGAAAACCAAGCAAACACAGGCCCACTTACCTTAAATGCCATGAACTTGTGATATGGTTTAGGAGCCCAGGCATATATCTCCACAGCATTCTTTAAGGCAATCACCAAGAATTTGATCCTTTCATATTTAACTGTAATAGAATAGTTGTAAATTAAAAAGTACATCAATTTATTCAATAATTTGTATCATTGAATGTATAAGTCACAAGATGTAAATATACACACACATATACACACTACACACTCCATATTTGGGGGTGATGTTCCTGGCGTGGGATTTTTTTCGTAGATACAGATTTCACTTCCTTTACCATACCTAGTCAGCAGAATCTTTTTTTTTTTTTTGTCTTTTATGTTATTTTACCTGGATTTTAGGTTCAACCAAATGTAAGTAGCTAAAGCTGGTACGGCAAGGTGATAGAAAAAATGCAAATGGGTAGAGACATAAAAGGTGCCAATTGCTTATTATTCAGATTAGAGTTCTAATTATTTATTTATTTTTGAGAGAGAATTTTTTAATATTTATTTTTTAGTTTTCGGTGGACACAACATCTTTATTTTATTTTTATGTGGTGCTGAGGATCTAACCCAGCGTCCTGCGCATGCCAGGTGAGTGCGTTACCACTTGAGCCACATCCCCAGCCCCAAGTTCTAATTATTAAGTAGAATAATTGCTTGTTTGTGTTTGTATTGAATTTTGGAATATCAGGAGACCTGAATTCTGATAATGGCCTATTTTTAAGAGTTTCACATACTTTGCCAATTCCTTTTTATTCTCTGGGAAAGTGCAATATTAAACATTTTAAATTCCATGGATAGAATCTTGATAAAATTTCATTGTTGTCTATTTTATTTTTACCTTATACAAAGTAATAATAATGTTTATTGAATGGAAGAATATATTTTGTTGTCTGATCTTCTGTGGCCTATGTGTCTTTGATACCATAGTGATTGATATTTATAGTGATGACCTTGAGAGGTTACAGAATCCTTTAAATGCCTCAGGATCTTTAAATATTAAATGTAGATTTTAATTCTTAGAAAGTCTGTAATCTACAACTGATGCACATACCAGGCGTTTTCTTCACAAAATATCTGTTGAAAAAGAATATTCTCTATCCTGAAGAAACTGGGAAATACTAATGCACTTATTAGATGACATGTTACGTTTCCAATTGTCTCCACAATTTTTCATTACATGAATTCTTTATGAGACTATTCTCTAATCTTCTCACTTAAAACTTATGCAAAGATTCAAGATTAAAGCTTAAAATAGCCTTGAAAATACAAGTGTATCAAAATATATATACGCTAAGAGCAATAGATAAATATAAATGAATCTTGGATATATAACTTGTTTTTCTGTTTTCTCCCAATTTATGTTTTTAAAATTTCATGGAAATTTGAGTATACTAAAGTAACCAGACACTATAAAAAGATCTCAGTGTTTTGACTGAAATCCCTCAAAGAAAGCAAAATGGAGCCCAAAGTAGTTCTCTGGATAACTGAGGCAAAAAATGTTCTGAAAATTAAATTTGTCTCAATATTCTGGAAGATAATGATCAGTTATTGCTCTCTGATTATATTTCATTTTGCATGTATCCATATACGTCAGTCTTCTAATGTTAGGGCAATGAAAAGAGATAGCAGTGATTAGGAGGAAGAGGTCAGATTTGCACTGGCCCTTCTAACATTTAGAGCCATAGGACTTATGCAGCTTCAGAGTTTTGAAAGAATACTTGCCAGGTATATGCAAGAGATAACACACACAAACTTTATTATTTCCTGTAATGAATTTTATTGCTCTGTAGTTATATAATATTAGTTTTGTACATAACATTTGATCACTAGGAATATTAAAAACGCCAAATAATAAAGGTAAAATACTGAAAGAAAATCCTAAAAGTTTTATGAGAGAAGTCTCTAGAAATAGCTTTCAAACCATTTCCATAGTAGTACTTAAACTACATTGTTTTCCTATGAATGCAGGGTCTATTTCCCCCTCAAAGAAGCCTACACTCTAAAAGAAGACCAAAGGGGCATATGAATCTACATTCTTCCTAGTAAGAATATGAGATGCTTGTTTGATATTTTACCAAATAATCAGATTACAAACAAGAAAAAAAATTAATTCTAGGGTATCTTATTAGCAAGTACTGAATAATTCTGAATCCCACAAAAATACACAGTGGAGCAGAGAAGAGCTTGTACCTTCCCAGCTTGCTATGGAAAAATGCTCCCCCATGTGGTCTAGTTTGTGAATAATACTGTATCTTTTGAGCATCCATTCCTGTCTTTAGAAATACCACTTAACTTGTTTCTCTGTGCATTGCCTACGCTAGATTTGACTGCAGCTGTGGTCACATATGTTTACAGGCATTTAATGTTTATTTTCTTCAACACCTGCTTTAAATGCATACTAATAAGCTCACTGTGTTATAAGGATAATTTAAAAAAAATAAAACCCAAATAATGTTGATAAATAGTGGGGGTTTATCTCTTTAGGCACTGGTACCTTCAAGTTCACTATATAGCACCAATGCTTCCTAGTGTCAAGGTATCTGGGAAGGTCACTTGAAATGAAATTAGAGGAAAGGTACATGAAGACTTTGCTTCAGAACAGTCCCCTCTTTAGTTGGCAGAAGACAACATACTGGGATTCTTGCTAGGACGGGCCAGGATAAATGACCGAATTCTAGCTTTCTGAGCTCTTCTGTAGCATGGCCCTGTTTCATACTCTGTTTTTAACACACCTAAGTAGCTTTCAACCTCTGTCACATAACACACATGATTGGACCAGCTCTTCAAGTAACAATTTCAACTGTGCACCATACTTTTCTATCACTATGTCACAGACACTTTTGAAGTGAAGGTGTGGAAAGCTACTCTTCTGCCCCTCTATGGACATTCCTTACATTAAATAATCCATCCTATCCAGGTCACATTTAACAACCTCCACACATTCTCTTAATTTTAATCAACTTTGAACATGTTTCATAGAAACATATTTTAAAAAGTCAAATGGTCATATAAGGCATATAAAAAACAAGTCCCTGCCTCAGTCCCAAGTCCTGTTTCCCACATACAAATACTTGCAACTTTTTAAACTTCTTATTTGGCAATTTATTTCCAGATTTCCAAGTAATGTGCTTATTCAGTTTTTTTTTTAAATTTTCTTCAATTGTAGACACTATCTACCAAACCTCACAATAAGAAAAGGGTATAGTTTCTTATATAATCTCCTTTTATCTCTACATACACATAAATCACTTTCTCCCTCACACCTCCAACACAGTTAGAGTTTATATTTTTGGTTAAAGCAACAAGAAGTGTTCAAATTGTCAATGTTCACAGCTGGGGCATGTGATATACCATAATTACATTTCCTTATTTTTTCCTCACTACCCTATTTTACCTACTCTAAGCATGTGTAAACTTGAAGACATGCCTTTCATAAAGGTCAACCGCAGCAGGGAATCCATTGGTACCATTTTATTTTTCTTGAAGTCATTCTCCTGGAATCCTGCTGAGCTGGGACTGATTTCTTTCCAGGTTAGTGGCAGAGTTATCATTTTGGTTCCTTTCACCATTATTCTGGGCATTTTCTTCATCTTTTTTCTGGATTACCAGGTTTAGTTCTTCATTTTGGTGGAACACATCTTCTAGTAGCTACTGAGCATGGTGTATGAAATTTTCATTTTTAGAGACCCTGCATACCTGAAAATGTGGTCACCAAAGTTGATCAATGGTTTGATGATATGATGATTAATTTTATTTGTCAATTGACTGGGCTACAGGGTGCCCAAATATTTGGTCAATCATTATTCTGCATGTGTCTGTGAGGGCATTTCTAAATGAGAGCAGACTGTCCTCCCCAGTATAGGTGGGTATAATTTGATCAATTGAACACTTGGATAAAAGCAAAAGTCTGCATCCTCTTGCCTGATTGAGCTGGAAAATTAGTCTTTTCTGGCCTTTGGACTCAGGCTGCATCACCAGTTCTTCTTGGGTATTGAGCTTGCTGACTGCAGGGACTTCATGGTCTCATCATCATGTGAGCCAATTCCTTATATTACATCTCTACACACACACACACACACACACACACACACACACACACACGAACCCCAATACTAACAGTTACAAAATACAAGTTGGAAATAATTTTGCCTTCAGATTTTAAAGGCAGAAGTTTTAAACTTCCAATATTGCTGTTGAGAAATACCAAGCCTCTGTTTCTGTATCTACTATATATAAAATGTTTATCAATTTATTTAGAATACAGAAGCTTTAAGGACTTCTGCCATCTTGGTACTGAAATATCCAGTTGGTGGGCCTTCTTTGAAGTCTTTTTTTTTTTAAGTAAGTAAACTGGGTACTCAGAATCCTTTTAATTTGGAATGTCAAGGCCTTCGGTTCTAGAAAAGTTTTTTACATTCTTCTTTTTTCCCTTTTTTCTAAGACTCAGATTTTGAACATCTGGGTTGATTTTTTTCTTCTCTTTTTCTTTCCTTTCTCGTTTCTTTTATTCTTTCTAGGACATTTCCTCATCTTTATCTTTCAACATTTCTATTAAAATTTTTATTTCTGCCAATATGTGACAGTTTGTAAGATTGGTTTCTTAATGATCTCTCCCCACCTGCTCTCCCTTTCTAAACAGTCCTATTCTTCTGTTACTGAAACAATTTTTCTAATCCTCTAAAATTCTTTCCTTCCTTTCCTCCCTATATTTTCTTCACTCCTCATTATCTTTGTTTCTTCTAAGGTCCTTACATTCTGTTTCACTTTCCCTCATGTTCCATGTCTCCACTTATTTATAGGAGACCTATCAGCTGCTGAGATTCATTGCTGGCTGAGTAGCTAGATAGCAGACCTTTTTCTTCATGACTTCAAATGTTAGTACCTGTACATCTTTTCTTTCTGGCCATTTAGTTTCTTCAAAGACAAGTCTTTCAAACTCTTCCTTGAGAATATGATCATCATCATAGATGCCAACACTTTGGGAGCTAAAGAGGCAAAGGGAGGGTCATGCATATGTATGTCTTCAGTTGATGGTGGCATCAACTGGCCATGTAAACCTTTCCTCTTTTGCTGTAGTGAGGGAGGGAGCACCCTGCCTGCTGGCTAGGTCCTGGTACTGGAGGCCTTGCTGTTGATCTGCTTTCCCCAAATCCTTCCTTTTTCAGACCTACCTTATAACTCTGCCTCAGATTCTCCTGGGCCCTCAGTCCCTGGGCCTTTCTGTGTTCTGCAGAGTGACTGGATTATTTTGATAATTTTCCCAACTATAGGTTTAGCATTTCCTGGTCTGCTAGGTCTGTTCCTCTTTTTCCCTTTTACTGACATCTGTTGTTTGCTGGCTTCTCTCCTCTTGGTCCCTTTGACCTTGTAGACTTAGTTCATTTTTATTCTTTTAATGTATCCTTGGGAGGAAGTACCTATAAAAGTTCAAACTGGAGCCTAGGACTTAATTCTGAATGCTTCCTTTGAACTTCACAAATTTGACTTCTAGGGGAATAATTCAAATATACTTTTAGGTTCCAGCAACATCTTAAGCTGGTCACACAGGCATCATCAATATCTGACTGAAAAACTGAATGGAACTTAACTGAACAACTCTTGATGAAGTAAATACACTGAATTTGCAATCCCGTGTCTGGAGACTTACCAACTTTGTAATGTATACAGCCTTCCAGGTCCCCGACGGTGATCCAGCCTTGCTTCTTTTCCACTTCTGGATCATTGTGTAATATTCTGTTTCTTAACCATGAAAGGTAGTAAACTCGCAGCTTATTCTTCTTTCCTATTGAAACAGCAGAGCTTTAATTCCAAGTCCCTGTGATAGCTTTTTATCCCTCCTCCCTTACCTCCACTTTTTTTTCATCTTTTTGTTTACAGTTTGTGTGTGTGAGAGTGTAATAACCAGTGTCCCCCGTGCTTCACAATTAAAGTGTTTTCTCTAGCAGGACTTGTGGTTTAAACAGCTCCAAGTGTTTTGGACAAATTACAAAATTACAATCTGTCTTTACGTTCAGGTGGTTTCTTACTTGAGCAAGCTGCTCTTATTCTTTCTAGCCAGTGTCTGCTAAACTCACTAAGACCCAAGTCTGCAACAGCGTGACTGATCACAGTTTCAGAACATTCTAGATCTGAGCCCACGAAGCAGTGTTGACAGCTGAGCGTTTTAGCCCCTCACGAGTCCCATCTTTCCCTCATGCTCTGACCTGGCCGTGGATGGCAACGGAAAGCCTCTTCTCTATCCCTTGAACCTACTTTGTCCTACGATCCCAGATGTGGAATACCTATAAAAAGTTAACTATCGTAGACAATATAATTATATACAGATAAAAACTGTTTTGCAATAATTATAATATATAAATTAATACCAATGAACACAATAATATAGAAGCTCTAGATTATGATTTCTAACTTACTTTAATGCATCCCGTGTCAATTTCACTGAAATATTTGCAGAATTAAAAATTGGGGACTTAGTGAATTAGAGATGACAATTGTTAGTGGTTTTATCTAACTAATGGAAAAAAGGATTTTAGAAGGAGACAGGGAGACAAATTCAACAAAGACAGTTTGGGTTCAGAAATTGATGTTGGACAGGTTCACGGGGCTGTGATCACTGAAAAAAAAAATGGGAAAGAAGAAAAAAGATGTAGATCTGGAAACAACTTAGAAGCTCCTTTTGCTAAGGTGATCTGGAGTAAAGAATTCATAGGATGGTAAGAAAACCACTGGATTGCAGGAAGAGCATGCAAAGAGGAAAATGGAGATTATCTCCATTAGATTATCTGAGGAGCACTGGGGTGGCTCTTCCTAAGTAATGAGAAATATGGGCATGTAGGTTTTACTTCTTGAAAACTTATTTTCCTTTGATTTCTCTTTGTCTTTAAAGATGTTTTACATTTCACAGATGTGACATATACCAGAAGAAGAGAATCCATGCACTGGATTTGACACAAGAGTTGGTGCATTCGGACCTGAAATCCAGGAGTCATGATGCAGTGGCTATTCGCTTTTGTAACCAGAAGGTAGAACATGCATTGCTCAGGACAGCCAGGAGGGGCAGGGACACCAGTGCTTCCTCCTTTCTATGACACTATGGATCCAAGGGCAACTCAAGCACCTTGTGCTCCTATTTTAATTTTCTCTTTTCCCCATCTGTGCCTCATGATAACAGGAAATAGTTAAGAATGAGGATGTGCTACTAACAACATAATAAAGCCCGAACATGAATTTTCTGGTAGCATTTCCACTTTGGGTAGATGACTGACAGACATGTGCTTCTAATTTTGATTTGGTAATGTAGCAATCAAAAAAGCAATTAGCCAGAACAAAGGACTACACAGAATTAAACTCAGTTCACAATACAGGAAGAATTGACTTGGTTAACCCGTTTTGGGGGAAGGATAAAACAAGTCCTCGGCCAGGCACAGGGGTGTACAATTGTAATCCCAGTGACTGGGGCAGGAGGATTGCAAGTTCAAGGTCAGCCTCAGCAACTTGGCAAGGCCCTTGGCAATTTAGTGAGACCCTGTCCCAAAATAAATAAAAACTGGGGTTGGGGATGAGCACTCCTCAATTCAATCTCTAGTCCCAAAACCAAACAAACAACAAAGCAAAACAAATCTCTAAGCATTCAGTGGAAAGATAAAATAAACAGGGAACTGGAGTGTCAAGTGAAGCATTTTCTCCAAATACAAAGTACAGTTGAAGAGTTAAACTTTCTTTGAGGTTCGGTGCAAGGTTGCATTGTCTCTGTGTGGCGAAAGCTGAGTGTAGATCCCTGTTCACAAACTTGGTTGCTCCCTCGGGAGCTCTGAATGCTGTGCATGCCTGGGCCCCACTCCCAGAGGTCCTGACCCTGGTCTGAAGTGCAGCTTTTATTTTCACTTCTCCCCAGGCAGCTCCATACGTAGATGGAATGGGAGGGCATTTGCTAAACTCCTTCAAGGATTATGAGAAAGAAAAAAAAAAAGTCCTTTCCTTCAACAACCCAGACTCTTTCAGGATGCATTTTACCAATAAAAGGCTTTCAGAGCTAGAGTTGTGGCTCAGTGAGAGAACACTTGCTGGCATATGATGAGGCCCTGGGTTCTAATCTTCAGCACCACATATAAATAAATAAAACAAAAGATCCGTTGACAACTAATATATATATATATATATATATTAAAAAATAACAATGCTTTCACTTTTATCTCCAACCTTAAAAAAAAAAAAAGAAAAATCTTTTTTTGGGAACCTGGAAGATCTGCAGAGTGTACCAGTCATGACTGGCTCCCTCTGCTCTGCCGACTTTGTCACCTCAAAGGTCCAGCTGCACTTCCCAAGGTATCAATGGACCACAAGTGGGAGAAGAGAAGAGCTCAGAGAAATTTCTGTTTACTCAATTCTCCTCCCAGGAGCCTACATTTTGACATTCTCCATCTCAGGATGCTGGCATCTTTAAAAAAATCTTTCCGAGTCCTGATAGAGGTAAAGAACCATGAATACACAGCTTTTGTGGAACATTTTGTGTCACTCAGATTTAATGCAGAGGTGAGAGGCTTCCCAATGGGTGATCTCATGCCAGCCACCCTGTTACCACCTTCTGTGCTGCTTCTTGGACAGGAACGACAGAGTTTTGAATTTCTTCAGAAACGAGGTAATTACCTTTCCTACTTGCACAGACCTGGGAAACTATGGTGATCGACCTGGTAACATACCTGATATGGTTACAAGAACATTTAGTCCCTCTAGTACATCCATCTGCTGAAATCGTCTCCGATTGATCAGATTATACACTTTGCCTTGCCCACTTCGGTCCAAAAGCATCAGGCCATTTTCAGTTCCCACCAGAAGGTTTACACCTGCAAATTTAAGAAACACCCTAAGACTGACTTTTTGTGAGCTTTGACCTTCTGCATCTGGGGTTCCCGTAACATCTAAGGAACTGCTTTGTAAATATAAATAATGGGCAAGTCACCACTACAGTAGGGAGAGTAGAAACTCTGGCACAGTAATTAAATCACTGTCCCTCTAGTAATGGAATTACAGTTTTCTTTTATAAAGTGGTAGCTGCATTCATTACATCGAGCCATTTACTACCTAATGCAGAGAAACCTTGTCAAGGGGAGCCTTAGGCACAGCTGTGAAGGTGGCACAATTTCCCTTTATTCCCTTCCTGTAACAACCGCCTCTTTCATGGCTTCCCTTAAATAATCCACTTCTCTTTCCCCAGTGTTCACCCCACATTTACTCCTGCAGTGATTTCTCAGGAACCTAACAATCCACCTTGGGCATCCACTAGAGTTTCCATTTCTGTACTCCATGGGAACAAAAGCCCTTCCTCTTCCTCAAATCAAAATTTGACTCTCTTATGTCCCCTACATTCCAGGCTCAGCTTCCTGTTGGGGAAACAGGACATCCAGAGAGGGTGTTAACAGATTGAGAGTCACCTGAACACTCAGGGGTCTAATGCTCGTCCATCCCACCTGGCATGCAGACACCCTGATTGCAAAAGCTCTGGCAGGTAAGTGGTTTCTCTGGAGTTTAGCATCCTAAATATTCATACTTCAGGACATCAATCATCCACCCACCACAACATACATCCGTCAAGAGGTTCACTGCACAGTGGACTATATTCATGAATATGTCCCTTTTGAAACCCCTCTTCTTGGTACTTCTATCTTCTGAGAACATGTCTGCTCTTTCATCCACCGATCAAGCCTTGCCATATGAACTGTGGCTATCTTACTCTCCTGTCTCAGCCCCAGAGGACAGAGCTGTCATACCTCTAAGAAATGATCCCCAGACTGCACACTTTTCTTGCTAATATCCCAAATGCTTTTAGTTGAAGGTATGGTAGCCCTGTTCAGGCCTAGATGGACACAGATGGGCCATGTCCTGATCTGTCTGTGATGCTTACAGTGACCTAGACCAGGACTTTGATAGACTCTCATCATGCCTATATTGAGTGAGAGGTCAGCTAACACCTGCAGATCACTTCCATGAGAATTGCGAACTAAAAGGGAAGGCTCATCATTTGTTGTTCATTTCAAGTTCTCTTACTACGGATGGTATGGCCTTGGGACATTCACTAAATTATCCTGCACTGGAGCTGTGAAATGAAGGTATAGCCATTTCCCCCTTGCAGGATGCTGCAGGGATCACAGAGACAGAATGTGGGGCACATCACCCAGTGGGAACACAATGGGTGTGTAAGAAGTGGTGGCTGGTTCTGTGGTCGCCTTTTGCCCATTGCTATAGAAGTCGTCCTTGGCCTTAGGTATAGTAGGCTTTAGGTTCTTTCTACATACAGCACTGCTTTTGGTTTCTCTGGAGGCCAAGATAGTCCCAGGCTGCTAACCCTTCCCATTCAATTAGTGTTTCCTCATGGTAAAATCCACAGGCATTTGACGTTTGAGGGCCAGTTCATTAATGAACAAGGACAAAAGTACTGACGTACCCCATAGAGCCGCACAAAGTATTTCTGAGTTGAATCGTTTCTTGTATTTTCTGATTTCCGGTGTGTCGCTATGAGGCCGAATGTTGGTTGGGTTTACATTTACCACAGAAATCTTTCTCGCTTCATTGAGCTTGGCCTGTTCTTGCCTAAGAAGTTCGCTAGTAAACAGAGCTTTGAGAAAAAGAATCAGAAAAGTCAATGGCATCTTAAAAGATAACCGGTGGAGATTTGGAGAAGGGGCTTCAAAACAGTGATTTCCCCTTGTTTAGTATGTATTATAGGAAGGGCACAGAAACTCTGAAATTATACCTATTTCACTCCTTTTTTAGTAGAATAAAGCGTAAGTCACAGAAGCATATGCTTTATAAACACACTTAGGGCTTTTGGTGTGATTCATGGGGTTATTCATGAAATATGACCATGCCCCATTCACTAGCCAAACAGCCTTACAGATACTATTTGGATGGTTTAGAAAATCAATATTAATCTCATAAAATTAAATGTATCATCACCACCTCCTGTAAATATACGCATGTAAGACTGATTTTGGAAATTTCACATTCTCAATGGGAAAGTTGGCCTATGGTGACTTTCATGATTAGTGAGTTACAAAAGTTCAGAAAGCAAGTCCAGACTCCAAGTCAGCCAGGCCTCTGTGGTGGGAAGCGCACATCTAGAACTCAACACAATCCAACACACACTTATTAAATATCTACTGCGTGCATAGCATTGTACCCATAAATTGTTTTTGGGAAATATGTGGTAAGTTCAGAGATCGCTGGGGAACAGCTTTTCCTAGGGCTCCTGGATACTTCTGGATTCCTACCAGAAGCAAAATAGAAAAGATGGGGTGGAAGGAAGGAGAGAGATTTGTTTTAGGAATCCTACAAAAATAATAATTAACAAGATCTTCCTTTTAAGGCATGGCCTAAGCATTAAATAGCTTAACTAATGAAATAATGATTAATTTTCTCATCAGGCCACACCAGAAAGAAAATTGATTTGCTGCTAAAAAAAAAAACATGGCCTTCTCACTTACCTGCAGCGGATGATTCTTCATCCTCTTCGTCTTCATCAGTGGGAGATGTCTGGTATACTCTGGGGTCCACAAAGGGGGTGAAGGAGGCTTTGGTGCTGCTTCCCATACCATACTGCTCAATAAACAGGGAGATCAGGAAAAATGGATAAATAAATACTGCAGGAACAGACAGTGCTAATAATACCTTGTGTGGGCTTTACAGTGGCTGCAGACTCCTCGATCTGTTCAGCTGCACACACCCAACCCCCTGCCAAAGTGTGTGCTTCTCTTCAATTGCTCCTGGTATTGGTGGCTGATGAGCCAATTTGCATTTGTAGGGCTTCATCAACTATCAGACTCTAAGAGTTGCAACAAGAAAATGAGGTTTTGGATGACATATAGCACCTCAATATCTTACCTGGAAGATAACATTTTATCTTTAAGTAAAAGCAATCTCATGTTGGTCAAATGGTCTTACGCTGACACAATGGGCAATAAACTAGTAAAAGCATGTCTACACAGCATGTCACCCTGGGCACACGGTCAACCTGAGAGGCTCCTGTTGGAGGGGTGGCCTTTGGGCCCTTCCACTGTGGCTGGGCTGCATTTGGGCTGGCACTGGCTACAAGAGCTGCAATAGGATGCTGTACTTTCCAATGTGCCCTGTGTTCTTTTCCTTGGGGCAAGCAAAGCTTATCTGCTTATAACTTTAGAATCATAAAAATCCAGTATGTGGACAATGTCAGAAGACATAGTGCATGGCTTTAGAAACGCACTT